ATGAGGGGGACTCCGCCCCCCTTCAAACCCCCCAAACAGAAGGGGGCACATCCCCCTTCTGGCAACCCCCTGATGTATTATTTGGACGGGGGACGGCGCCGAAAAAATGGTCACTTTTTTTAACAACATTTCTCAAACGAAAATTAGTGTTTGGGGTCTAAATAGGACATTTTTTCACTGTTTGAGGCCTCAAAAAGGGGGGGGGGCAAAAAGCCGTCGAAACACGCTTATATAAGGGAAAAGGTTAACAAAAAATGATGAAAAACCTTGGAATCACCAAAAATCTAGTTTTTCCATGTTAACATGTGGTCTTTTACATAATTTTGGTGAAAAATTGTTGTTTTGAAACATTTAAAATTTTTCAGTTAACCTTTTCCCCCATGAGCATATTGTGAAAAATGGCCATTTTCACTGAAAAGCCTCCTCTTACAAGTTCAAACTGCTATGAAACTATAACAAATGCTTCAATACTAATCAAACTTGGCACAAATGTTGACTGGACCATTGCCTTTGTAACGACATGCTCAGTCTTAAATTTCCTGTTACCATGGCAACGAGGGGACATCTCAAAATTGCCAAAAATCACTTTTTTGCCTCGATTTTTCCATCAAATTTTATTTCAAAGTGCTGCAACTTCTCAAGGGATTGATATAGAGTCAAAGGCTTTTCAGCGTTGGTTACACGTTACCTTATGATCAACCTGGGGACATTTTAAGCCTCTCAAAAGTCCAAAATTTTCTTGGCGATGAGGGGGACTCCGCCCCCCTTCAAACCCCCCAAACAGAAGGGGGCACATCCCCCTTCTGGCAACCCCCTGATGTATTATTTGGACGGGGGACGGCGCCGAAAAAATGGTCACTTTTTTTAACAACATTTCTCAAACGAAAATTAGTGTTTGGGGTCTAAATAGGACATTTTTTCACTGTTTGAGGCCTCAAAAAGGGGGGGGGGGCAAAAAGCCGTCGAAACACGCTTATATAAGGGAAAAGGTTAATACACGGTACCCACTGGCTAGATATTATTTTATTTAGAACGATGCGTTCCGTGAACAATGCTTTCCCTTGATGATCTTTTCTTTTTTATTTTTAACCATATTTGACACTTGTTTCAGATTGTATTTCATTTGGATTAATACTACTACTATTGCTAAAAATTGACCAGTTGGATGTGTTTGCAATGCCATATGGATGAATAATTTGTGGGGAATGTACTTTGATACTGACTTAATTAATTAAGATATCCTCCGTCACATGAATACACTGTTAATTTTCTGTTCTTTTTGGGATGATGTGTAGATTCTTTACAATGCAGAAATAACTCGATAGTCTGTGTTGCTGGGTCGTGTAGGGGATGTGCCAGGGGAATGCTACCTTTTCTTGTTGATCTTGGTTTTCATATCTTATACCAAAAAGGGTCAGACCATCCTTTAAGTGAACTAATGACAATATGCAAAAGTACATCGACGGAAGACTTTATGACATGAACCAACTGTTTTATCATAACGATAAGATAACACAGTGCATGTTGACTAATTAGAATATTGCATTTTTGTTTTAAGATGTGCTTTTCCGGTGATTATAAAGCCCACTGACCTATGCTTGTTTTATATCATTCTATGAACATATTTCCATAGAAGTAGAATATCTCCTTTTTAACCAACCTTTTGAAATGAAATGTCGACATATCTGCTGTAATTGGTAAATTTAAGAATGTATCGGTATCACGTTTAGTTCTTAAAAACACTGCAGCAGTTTTTTTTTATGATTAAGGTCGTTTTCATATTGTATCATTAACATTTGTCATTATCAATTATTGCTTAATCGCTGGGAAAATAGTCTTTTAAAATATATAGCTAATTAGTCCCCTACCGGTTGAACCGGAGGGGACTTTAGGTTTACCCTCCGTCCGTCTGTCCGTCCGTCTGTCTGTCTGTCAGTCCGTCAGTCCGTCCGTCCACAAAACTGGATCCCGCGATAACGCAAAAAGTACTGAAAATATTTTTATGAAACTTGATATATGGATAGTTGGCAGTATGGAGGTTATGCACGTCTTTTTTCTTTCTTCCTGTGTTGAAAATTCTGGTTGCTATGGCAACACATAGTCTGAAAATATGGCAAATTTAACACATAAACTGGATCCAGTGATAACTCAAAAAGTACTGAAAATATTTTTATGAAACTTGAAATATGGGTAGATAGCAGTCTAGAGATTATGCACATTTTTTTCTTTTCTTCCTATGTTGAAAATTCTGGTTGCTATGGCAACAAATAGCCTGGATTTCAAGATTTCTGATTCAAATTGTTCAGCTTTTTCACTATAAGTTCTTTATTTTTTAAGGTGTTTTCTTCAAACTTTAAATATAAGTTTCTAGTCATCAACCACATCATATGTGACAAGGTTTACAACTCTAGCACAAAAGTGATCAGTATTACCTCACTTGAACTTTAATGAACAAAAATGTTGTCTTTTTTAATAACTTCTTTATGTCCTAATGTATCTACTTCAAACTTCATATATATGTTTCTTATTATCACTCAACATTTTTGAGGAGGTTAAATACTCTAGCAAGACTATTTCCAGAATTATCTCCCCCTTGAACTTAGATTTTTTCGAGAAATTGGTATTTTTCACTCCAACATCTTCATTCCTTATAGGATTTACTTTAAAATCCCACATCATAATAATATGACAAGGTTGTATAAACATAATTTCCTTACTAGGCAGGGAAACTTAACACATTACTGTGATATAGACAAACTTTGAACTCAAAAGATTTAAGTTCATTCATGTCATTCATTCACTGGTAAAATTGAATGGCCATAATGGCCCATCAGAATGTTGCTGGGGTTCTAACCGGTAGGGGACTTATGGATTGCTTGCAATACTATGATAATTGCTTGTTCAACTTAACTTGACAGTAAATAAATGAACATAATGTCACTTTAAGGACTCTTTCTGTTTAAACAAAAACATAAAAATTATACTTTTAAAGGAACTTTTTTACTATGTTTATTGTGTTCTTAAAGATAACATGATCCGTCCGTTTGCTTTTATTTTGCCATCTTTCTTTCTACACGGTACCCACTGGCTAGATAGTAAGTTATTTAGAACGATGAGTTCCGTAACAATGCTTTCCCTTGATGATCTTTTCTCTTTTATTTTTAACCATATTTGACACTTGTTTCATATTGTGTTTCATTTGGGTTAATACTACTACTATTGCTAAAAATTGACCAGTTGAATGTGTTTGCAATGCCATATGGATGAATAATTTGTGGGGACTGTACTTTGATACTGACGTAATTAATTAAGATATCCTCCGTCACATGTGTAGATTCTTTACAATGCAGAAATAACTCGATAGCCTGTTTTGATGGGTCGTGTAGGGGATGCGCCAGGGTTATGCCACTTTTCCTTGTTGATCTTGGTTTTCATATCTACATATATACAAAAAAAGGGTCAGACCATCCTTTAAGTGAGCTAATGACAATATGCAAAAGTACATCGACGGAAGACTTTATGACATGAACCAACTATTTTATCATAAAGACAAGATAACACCGTGCATGGTGACTAATTAGAATATTGCATTTTTGTTTTAAGATGTGCTTTTCCGGTGATAATAAGGTCCACTGACGTATGCTTGTTTTATATCTATGAACATATGTCCATAGAAGTAGAATCATCTCCTTTTTTACCAACCTTTTGAAAAGAAATGCCGACATGTCTGCTGACATTGTTAAATTTAAACCAGGAAACTAAATTTTCTATGGTTAAAACAGAAAACAACACCAATATATTCGATTAATATCATTTATAATTTCTTTTAATCAAATATGCAATCTCAAAATTTAATTTCATACTCCCATGGCACAGAACGTTGTAGGATTATTGAATAAAAAATCGTTACGACCATAATTGTATTGAAGTAATATTAATTCTCATTTCAAACTCGGGAGAACTCATTGCAAGAACTGATTGTTTGTTATTAGATGATTAGGGATATGCTTTATATAAATTGAACAGTGTATGACACACTTCGCAAGAAATGATTCATTAAATGAGTGTTCGTATGTTAAAAAGGACAATGTCATCTTTAATGGCATATAATCATAATAATGAATACAAATAAAAGACACGTTTACATTCTTAATAAAGAGTCTTTACTTGAGATGTAGATTTATTATAATATTACATAAAGTTGCAAATATCTTAATTGTGAATATCTTTGTATTTACTTTGCAAGACTCCTGTAACATGAGTGACTGTCGTGTGGATATTTCAAAATTCCTCCAAATTCATCATGTAAAAACCTAAAAGCATACATACATTTACTTTAAAGTAATTTGATCCATAATGGACGGTCAGTAACATTATAATTATGTTGAAAATATTTAGTTTCATACGTGACAACAAAATCCGAACACATTATGTGTGAGATACATGATCCCATGCATATTTATACACATATGCAGAAAATTTATTGTTCTAGAACAAAATATTATTTTTCATCATACAAATGGTCAAACTAAATCATCTGGAACTCTATCAATATTGGTTTTCCCAAAAGATATTTTATAAGGATATCTAAATTACACATTTCTTTTTTGTTTTATTCGGTGTTTGAAATACTTATAGAAAATGTGCCCATAATAGACCAATCCACTTTAACATGAAATTGTGATAATGTACATATTTCTTTATTATTTCCTTGCTGGACAATGATGTGCGTGTATAATATTAACATAAAAATGACACATAAAAGGCAAGACAAGAAAAAAAAGCAATAACTTAAAAAGTTGAAAAAGATACAAATTTAAACATATTCATACAAGTTACGTATATGCAGTTTCTTATTTTAAAGCACTTTAGATGATAAACATTAAATATCAATAAATAAAAGAAATTTAAATGAAATATAATGTTTTGGAGATTCCTACAAAAGAACTGACGGAAATGCAAAAGAGAGAAAAGAACACCAAAAAAATAAAAACATCAAAAAGAGGTGGAAAAATTATTTTACTACTTGTAGTTATAATTTTACAGGAATCAATTGAATTGACAGAACACGTGGTAAACACGTGAGAATACGTGGTAAACACGTGTGCTTGAGGGCGGACACAAACACTGCATTTGCAATATCAAACAACATAAGTTCCGTCATGAAAAATATGCAGATGGGTGTATCTTTCAAATTAAGATTAAAAGAAAGAAAAAAACATGTTATTTTTTAGGTCGTCCTTTTCTGCTAAGTCTGCGATACAGTTTTCCCAGAAATCCTACAGGACCTTGCTTATCACGTCTTCTCATTTCCGGTTCCGTGTAATCGTCTGGTGAAGGATGAAGGTCAGGGTTTAACTTGTGACGTATCTGTTTTAAGATGGCGATAAGTAGCTCATCGATATGGTGATTTAAGGCGGCTGATGTTTCAAACGGAAGGCAGTCATATGTACGGGATATAGATCTCACATCTGTATAAAGTAAATAGAATGTTTCATTTTCAATTATATCTATCGGGGAAAAGGCGAAGTACTTTCAAACATTTCTAAATGGAATTAATAAGATTCAAGCGTCTCACTGCTAAAGGGTTAGTGATTCCCCCGAAACCCTTATCACAACAAAATTTCATGAATATTGCAGACTTGGTTTGTCTGAACTCCGGTAAGGGTAAGCGCCATCGATTCTTTCATGTGTAGGACATTTTCAGCTAGCGTAAGAAAAACTTGTGGTTCTTTACACGTGCCCGGTCGTGCACGAAGGGCACCTGACGTCATATTCTACATTTTATTTATTTATTCGACGTAAGCATTGTAATAGTGATAGCAGACGTCTATGATCATTCTTTAAAGGGAGAAACAGGCAAAATTTCCATTTCTTGGTTTTGAATTTTTTCATTCCTAATTCTATAAATGCCCTCAAAATGAATATATAAGACCGTCAAAAGAACAAAACTTTTCTTCATATAAAGAATAAAATGGTGGTTTCCTAACCTGACCCGCGTGGGTCAGTTTAGAGCGCTAGGATTTCACAAAAGTTGTCACAGTGAACTCTGGAAACGTTAAAGAACATGTCAAATGAATGATTTTGACTTGTTTCAATCATACAATATCCACAGTATATGTAAATGTAACTTCACGGATTTGTTCAAGTCACCTGATTTGTTTTAAAACTATTCGGTGATTATATTGAAGTCTAAATTTTGTTCAACATATATAGATATATTTATGTTTCAAATCCAAAATATATAGAATTTAAAGAGAAATTCATGCTGAAACTTTTAGAAAAGTCATTTTAGCGCGAGGTGAGTACATGTACAAAAGATCATTTTAATATTTTTGTCATTATTTTGCCTGAATATCCCTTTAACAAGTCTTCAAGGTTTTAAAATTTATTGACTATCAACATGCAAAATGTCTTTTGCCGTTTAACAATAAATACAAGTAAAACATAAAACCTACCATCTTTTTTAACTTTTCGTTTTCTAACCAGGTCAATTTTATTGCCCACGAGAACAATAGGTCTGTCTGTACCCAGGCCGTGTCGTAACTTGTATAAACTCTGTACAGCAGCGTCGAACGTTACTCTGTCTATGACGGAATATATCACAACGTAGGCATCAGCTGTTACTTCTATCTCGTGATCTGTTGTATCCTATAGTGCCGTTGAAAGGATACATTTAGTTTATAAAATAATGTCATTGGTATGGTGTTGCATTAGGAAATCAATTATGAAATGTCCTGTTCATTCTTTACCTTAACTTTAGACATTTTACGTTGCTTTATCGAAGTCTAAGCAATTTGTTTTGTAATCAAAATAATTTTTTCAAATACAATAACGCAATGCAATTTCATAATGGTTTCAAATGCCCATTAGGCCTCAAAATATGCCTCACAAATGATTTAATCTATTTCCTTAAGTTAGTTTTGTATTCTTGGTGTTCTGTTCTTAATAATTCTAATAGTTATATAATAACTTACATTTGATCTGCGCCATGACAAAACTAACTTAGTGCGTTTGCGACCAATATGGATCCAGACCAGCCTGTGCATCTGCGCAGTCTGATCAGGATCCATGATTTTCGCTATCAGATTCTTTGTTTGTAATAGGGTTTGTAAGCGAACAGAATGGTTCATGATCAGACTGTGCAGATGCACAGGCTGGTCTTGATCCATGCTTGTCACAAACGCACAATAATGGTTTTGTCGTAGCGTGGCTCATTTCATACTATCTTTTATTTATTATAGATAAATATTTGTAGATAACATTAACTTACATCCCATGGGAGTACGTCAATAAATTCCATGGTAAGTTCTTCTCCATCTAGCTGTATTGCTACAGTTGTTTCTACTTCATCGACTGAAATGAGAAACAAAATTGCTGATTTGACTTATTTTTATTATTAATTTTACTAGTCTACTTCATATTCTATAATACTGTTCTTTTTATTTGTAACTGAGGTGCTGAACTTTTTGTATATTTGTAGATTTGTTGCTGATTTCGTTGGTTGCTCCCCATTTATTCTCTTAACGAATATATTACAATTGAAAGTTTCTATGCGGTGTCTCTATTAAAGGTTATTTGGTCAAGTCCAATTCAAATGACATAGGTAAAGAAAACGAAATGGTTAAAATCAGATTCAAATTCTTTTGATTTCAAGAAATTATTGTTTAACTAAAATTAACATCGGAGGGTAACATACAGAATAAAAGAATAAGAAAACGCGAACAAGAATGATGGTCCATTAAGAATTAGATAAATATTTGGAGAGAACTCAGACGTCAAGAGTCCGCATGATAGATACGTTTATTTACGTCATAACGTATGTTACATCTTGAATATAGACAAACGCAATACAAAGAGCGAACAATAAATTAGAGAAAACAAAACACAGAAACGACAGGTACGAAGCTGTTAGACAAAAATTAAGTGAGTGTTAGTAATAAATTAGTTTTCAATTGGAAACGCCTGATGTGTTTACGTTTGGTAATTGTGTTATATTTCGGTAAGTTATTTATAGTAAATATATGAGTGCAAATCTCTCATCTATAGAGCTTGTAAAGATAAGTTCTGCTTACACATACGTATAAACACTTCATGTAAAAACAGAGACGGTACGTTTCTTTCATATAAACACTCAATAAAATTTTCATGAGTATTTCAAACAAAAGAAAAATTGGGCCAGCATTTCAAAACATTTTTTGATATATAACATGGACGAAATCGAGATTTTTGCTAAATAGGTACAGCTTGAACTTTAACATGAACCGGTAAAAGTAATATTGAAAGTATAGTATAACAAACAATTAACTTATTTTATAATTTAAGGCATATTCTTATTTTCATGCATTTCAGAGTGACAGTAATGTACTCTAGTATATTATACATACAGAGAAGTTTGTCCAAAAGCGTTTGTATTATCAAAATAAATACCACAAGATTATTAATAATATTTAAATTACTAATTTAAATCAATGCAATATGTGAAGGAAAAATTAAAGCTATATATATCACTATACAATCAGTTGAATGCATAAAATGGCGGAACATTATGGTCATGACCTTGAAAATACACAGTGACGGGAAATTGTGGCAGCCACAACGTTGAATTGAAAGAAAAACGAAATACTATTGAGCTTTATAAAATGATAAAATATAAAGAAATATATATCAGATGAAGTTATAAGTTGATAGAAAAGGAACATGCGACATAAGGTCCATGTATCTAAAGCAAGTGGGGTAGTAATAACAAACCCTGAAAATGTGAGTTTTTATTAATGCCTACAATACTCATTGATTCAGGGATTTGTGTTTTACGATAATGGCTACCATTCAATGCTCCTAAATTACATGTAAGACATGAACATATCTGAAATTAGGTCAGATTGGTCATAGATCTATGTATCTTATTTTATTTCTATATTAGATTGAACTGCACATGGATTTATGTAATGAAAATATTTAGACAAAAATTTAGACAATGAATGATATATTAACGTCAGAAAAGGTACTGTCACACTGAACTGCGACACCTCGCGAGTTGTTTGAGACACCAATTTTAGCCACATGTTGCGATTTGTTAGCGACAAAACACGATCGGGGTTTCATGTCGACATGAATGCGTATGTCGCCCAAATGTTACCGAAACACAACAACACAAACATGTTAAAGTGTTTCAATTTTCAAGATTAATAACCCCACACAAATTGTTATGTCATTGCTTTGCAAGCTATGCTAATGTTTCTATATGACTTAACATATGCAGATTAACCTGTTTTACATTGGCTGAGGCTTTTAGAGATACTTCTTGTTTCATCATAAGATAAATGTTTTTATTTTGTCAGAACACTCAAACGGAAAGTATAATTTGAAATGAATTTTCCATCGATTGTGATTAAAATAGCTTCGTTTTGTATTGTTGACCCTCGTCTCGCTAGTATCAAATCATTTGCCTTCTATTCAAACTGGTGTCTAAAATATTGTAAAACAATGGAATGCCATGGAAAAAGTAGAACGTTCGTAGACGACGAAATGTGTTATATTAAATACATTAACCTTAGATTAACGAAATATTGCTATAAGTAACCCACCATGCCTTTGTCTGGACGTCCTTACTCAATACAAGAAAGTACAAACAAATGTCACTATAGAATGCGGTAGTTTCTGTTTATATTTTACGAATCTGGAAAAGTAATAAAAAGTATCTAAATATAGCACACACTCATTAATTGAGAGAAAAGGAAGAATGTCAAAGGTTGCAAGATATAATTTCAACGGTCAATAAACTCAACTTACAGAAAAGATAAGTTTGCAAAAATAGGTTAAACTATATTGTTTTATTTATCTTGCTAATCTATTGACATATTGGAATGTTTTCAAAATGTCTTTTGCTAAAGTAAGTTAATGAATCATAAAGAAAGAACAGTGTTTTGTTTAAGATTATGCTGAAAGGAATAAAAGTATACTGACATTTTTTTACAAAAACAGTCAGCCATTTTATTTGTAAGTATCGTACATTTACAATCATATTTTGTATATTAACGATCACATTCTAATTGTTTGCAAATATTTTATAATTTTGAGTCATACGCATTCCAAAGTCTATGTAATATATGAATACTAGTTTTGAAGCATGAAAGCTGAGAACCAGACCTGACACATAATGATTTGAAGCCTAGACAGTATTGCAATCCATCAAATATAAATAATTATTGATAAACAAACAATATAAATCAGGACATGTTTGGGAGAATATATCACAATTGTCATTTGTAGACATTAATCAGTTATATAACTGTAAATCATAACACGAGACGCAAGAATGTTTACATTAGAAGATAATGTCTCTCGTATTTGCATAATTCATTAAGATGACAAAAAGAGTGAATATTTCTCTCCAATTTGAAATGTCATTGTTATTTATTAGCACCAAGTCATGCCACTAAGCCAAGTTTGTGATCGACTGTGTAGTTTTAATGATATCTGAAGGAGGTCTACGTTATCAGTAATTCTGTTTTACAATCAATCTTGAATCCTTCGCAATCTGTTTAAAATATGTGTTATGCATTCCGCCAAACGGATCCCACATAATTGATACTGAATATAAACAACCAATTTAGTTTTAATTTTGTAACAGATACTTGAAATGATGAAATCTATTCGTTTGGATAAAGGTTTCAACTATTGTTGAAGATTAAATACTGTTTAAGCAGGTGATTTCGGATGAAGAGATGTTGCACTTTCATTGTCCCCAATGAATAAACACAAACAAACCGCTTGAGTGTTAACAAGGTGTTTCTATTTTTAGCTCCGGTGATCTAGTTTTTCATCCGAGATGACCCATGTTCAAAATTTTCCGAGCTACTATCTAGACAAGCATCCTGACCAAGTTTGATGATGATTGGTGCAAAAATGTGACCGCTAGAGTGTTAACAAGGTTTTTCTATTTCTTGCTTCTGTGACCTAGTTTTTCACACGAGATGACCCATGTTCGAATTCATCCGAGCTATCAACTAGATAAGCATCCTGACAAAGTTTGATGATGATTGTTACAAAAAATGTGACCGCTAGAGTGTTAACGAACAAGTGTGGATGGACGACGGACGACGGACATTCAACGATCGTAAAGGCTCACCCTGAGCAAGCTCAGGTGAGCTAAAAATTGGTAAGTTAGGTTTTTACCAATGGCAACAACTCTATATCTTTAAAATACTTGTGTAAGTAAATTTATGATGTCAAAAAAGCATTACCAAATGATGTGTTTGATGAATAAATGAATAACATTTGTGCTTACCATTTAAAGAGTGAGAAAACTTTAGCAAACACATGAATAACTTTTAATCAGTATATAAGATTCAGTTTTCCTCGTACATGTCGTAATGCTTGAATATCCTTCAAGAAACATTATGGGGAAGTTCGTGGGAATATAAGATTATCTTATATTGAAAGTGTATTGAAAATGACACTTAATATCAGATGTCTGTTGCTCAGAGAAAAATATCTTAGAGATGCATTAAGTATGATATACATAAATATGTTAAATTTATAAATTGTTATTGACATAAACCTTTCGTTTTCATATACCGAATTTTTCTACATCATTCCGTTTCAAAATCAATTTGAATTCGTATGGTAAAGTCAATTACCAAGTCAATTAAGTATATCTAAGATTTAATATGGAAAACAAATCGAATACGAAACAAAATCAAACGCATTTGTTTTATGTACTAAAACTTACCTTTTGAATTATTCTAAACATATTTATTTCAACTCGATTGCAAAGCAAGTTCTTTCAACTTATTCTTATCACTTTCGAGTCCGTGTGATATAACGTACGTTGTAGTGTAAAGATATATCTTTTAAAATCGCAAGCTTTAATTTTCAAACTATCATATTGATATTTTTCTTTATAATGGAGTCCAAAAAATGGTTATCTTCACTAGCCTAGTTGGAATATTACATATGCATACCCTTATCTTCGTCATACCCTTATCTTCGTCACACCATAGTGCCAAGCGAAAAGACATTTCTGTGTACACCTGCTTCTATATATTATATTTTGTCAAAAAATTGTTCTCTCTAAAAACATGTTATACTGATGGTTTTCAAATATATTAATTTTTTGTTGTTTTCTTTCTCCATTCGATTTTACAGGTGAATCATGTCATCTAAGACCTAAATGCACTGTTCAAATTTGCTGCTGTAACATAAAACGATAACACCATTTTGTGTTTTTATTTGTTTAATCAGATAATAATGAAGCATGTTCTCAAAAACTAAATTTGTGAAGTTTTATTCCTCCATTAACTTTTACAGATGAATCATTTCATTTAAGACCTCTATTCACTGCTTAAATCTGCTAGCATGGTATTAAACATGCACAAAGTAAAATAAATAGACAGTTGATGATGCGTTTCTCTCAGAAAAAGAATTTGTGACTTGAAATTATCCAGATCATCGTTCAAATCAGACGTTTTGCCGACAAGCAAAACATCGTCGAAAACAACTTACTGTGAAATAAATGTTTAAACTTTGTTCGCAAATGCATGAGAAGGGTGATTGGTACGATTTTAGTCTTGTAAGCATCGATAATATTGGACTTTTAATGCTTTGAAGAACGCCGCCCGGTCCGATTGATTCTAATGCAATGTAATAAGCCGTTTGAAATTGGTTAGGCTATATCGAATGGGTATTTTTTAGAGATATATGTAGTGGTAAACTAAACTGATTGCTTTAAGTGCATGAAGATAAAAGTCATGAAGGAGGTGACTTTAAATAAGGAGCATTAAGCGTTATAACTAAGTAGGATTGTTAATTATTTTTAGATACTATATACCGAAGTATGTTAAAATATTCAAAATTATTTACTTAAAAAATGAATTATTGAGATAATGCTTTGTTCTTAACAGATTCTTAAGTTAGAATAAGTAAGAGTATAGTTTATCATATTAATATACATTTGCAAAGAAATGTTTAAACGAAACATTTGCAAAGCATGTGTTTAACTGAAAGTGCATTGATAGATCCTTACCCTGACCTAATTTTTAAATCTCAAAAGATTTAACCACAAACATTGTCATGTGTTCTTTTGTTAGATGAAATTCTTATTGTATCCACTAATCTGATAATAAGAATAAGACAGGTTAGGGATCTATGCATTGATGTTTTACGAAAATCAAATAATAGTATGGGCTTTGTTTTTTTTATCTGATTAAGAAGATTGAAATGACCAATGTTCGCAGTTGATAATAACAGTGAAACAATACTTGTTTCTATTAACAAAGGATCACTTTATGGACTAATGCTCACTCTGTTTAATTAATATAAGTCTTATGAAAATGTGAGTGATGTTTTGCCACTCTACATATGCATTTTAGTTTTCTCCTTGCGTGATTTTTGTGAGACCTGAAAATAAAATTTTAGTGTTTTGAGCAAGTATCTCAATATAAAATAGATCTGAATCACATCTTTGTAACAGTGTTAACGCCTTACTCATTAGACGTATGTCAGAACTATCATAAAAGGGTCTTTATTTTATGTAATTGGATGAAATATAATCACAATTCCGCTTAACAAATGAAAGAAATTTCTAAGTAAACGAAAGAACATATGATAATAATTAGCGGCAAATATGTTGATATGTCTCAATAGGTATCTAAAAGTTGGTGCTGTAAAATCTAGTTATCTGATAACTGGATATTATTATTCGGTTGCGATCGAAACAAATGTAGTTGAATCAGACCCGTTGTCATTTGGGTCAGTTCATAATACAATAGATAATGAAAAGTGTTGCGTCTCTAACGGCCAATAGATTCAGCTTTAACACAAACTGTTAGAACTCAATGGATCGATAAAAATAGCACCACAAAGATAAAGAACTAAGCAATTTTGGGACATCTGTCATAATAAAAATCTGGAAAAGGGTGATCGCTAGGAAGAATTAATGACAACAAAATTACATGAAAATTGAAGATTGAGTCTGTCCATGAAAAATAATGGAAAATTGCAACATAACTCTCGACCCCTAGCACCGACTTAATCGATAGTCAATCTTCAACACTTCAACAAATGTGGTGGACTCAGTGATCTCGGAGGACGAGAAAAATATA